CCCCCGTTCCCAAATGCCTTGTGGTCTCTCCCAGTCCCTAACGGTCACCCTGCAAATGTCCCATAGAGCGACCAGTTTATTTTCCACTTGTGTCTCTTTTCTTCAAATCATCAGAATTCTACCGTTTTAGAGCAGGAAGGAGCTGGGGAAGCAGCAGGTCCTCCCGGGCAGAATGGGGCTCCCACACTGAAGGCGCAGCTCTGTCCCCTGCTCACTGTGCCCGCCCCCCGGCCCTCGGGGGTAAAATGGACACGCATCCTGTGCCTGAAATGCAGAGGCTCTAATAAGTGGGGGCGAGTCATTTTCTTGATTCATAGTGTAGGGGTGAGCGCGTCTCCGTCTTCCCTCCTGGGTTCTATGGCTGGTCCAAGAATTAAGTTCACATAAGACAGATGAACAGGAGAAAAACAAATTTAATTTTGTATGTACAGGAGCCCCAAAGATCAGAGGCTCAAAAGTGACCAACGCAGGCTGTATTTAATGCTTCTGAGTCAAAGAAACAGTAGATTGATGACGAATTGGCAAGACGAGGGGTTTGGGCTTGGGGCGGTAAACTAGTGAAGTAACAGGGTTACTGCCCGTGGTTGGTGACAAGGCTGCCTCTCTCCCTCCCGGTGCAGCGGGGGGACTGATTTCCTGCTTCCAAGGGGACAGAGGAGGGTCTGGGTGTCCCTCTGGCACTGGCCACTGCTTAAGTAATTTTAATCCAAAATAATCAATATGCGAAAATGGCATGTTTGGGTGTGGCCTAAGCTACTCTGCTTCAGTGGCTGGAAACGAGAAGCTGAGAGTTGCCTTGGGGTTGGGGTTGAAGCCTGGCTTAGGGCCTCCCGGCAGCCGAGGTGTTGAGTACGGAGGAAGGGCCTGCAGGCTGCAGGTTTGGGCTCCAGGGGGGCTGGGACGTCTCCTAAGCCATGCGCATGCATGGCCAGGTGTCTGCCCGCTCCGGATGCTGGGACAGCGTGTGCTGGCAGGTGGTTCCTGCATCTCCTTGCTCTCTCAGCTATAGGCGTGTGTTCTCACACTGTGAAGACAAAACCTGTTCAGCTCCTCCTACCCAGAAATCCCATGTGCACGTAGCCAGGGCCCAAGCCCCGGGCCTACGTACATCAGCCGTCTTCTGGTGCAAAGTCAGACTCTTTCTTTGAGGAGGGTTGGTATCTCTTCATCACCAGGAGTGATATTCAGATGGCTGAACTCACTGACACCAGGTCACACCTCATTCTTGAGGTTTTAAAAATGTTGTTTGCTCCTGTTCTTGTAGGTAACGTCTGTGCCTGTCACTGTGGTCTCTGTGCTCTGTCAGTTTGTCTTTGCAAAATATCCTTCCTTATCTTCTTTCTCTAGTTTAGGGATATGCATATGTTAATGGCATTGGTCTGTTGCTTTTTGTTCTGGGCACGGTCGGGGGGAAGAAGGGGTTGCCACCAAGGCCCCTGGCTGACCCCGGTCCTACGTGAGGCTCGCTTTGGCCTCTGTATATGGAGCGCATCCCCATGCGGGCAACACCGCCTTGGGACAGCAGATGGCTTCCACCCAAGCTTTGATCTAGACCGTGCGCCGCTGTAAATTTGCCAAACGGGCATTGCTAGTCCCCCACAATCCCGCTGCAAATCCTGACAACATAAAAATAATAACATGACTCAACACAGCCGAGGGGGGCATCCCGGGGGTAGAGGTGCTTTGAGAGCATCGACTGACAGAACTTCATGGCTGCGGGGGGTGTCAGAGACACAAACCGGAAGAGAAACAACAGCAATACTGTGAGCGATCAACCGTGTGTGACCGACGAGCCGGAGGTGGAAGTACGCTGACTTCACCCCCATTCCCGGGGACGGGGCCGTGGGTGCTATAGGAACAATTAGGGATTGAGTACCTTGTGGAAATCATGGCCGTCGGGGGCGAGGACGTCGTGACTCACAGGCAGGAGCATGAGAAGAGCCACAAACAGACGGTGAGCCTTGGGAAGGACCAGACACGTGACAGAGCGAATGCCGACCCAGAGGGGCTCCCGAGGAGAACCCAGTGCGGGGCAGGATGTTGCACACTGCGTGCACACACAGGCAAGGACGAGCGTGTCTTCACGGATGGGTCAGCGGCTCCCTGCTCTCCGATGCTCCCCAGAAAGACACCCAAGAAGCCGGGCCTGGGTGGGAGGAGACTTCTTTAAACTCGTTCCTTACATTCCCGTGTTATTTGTGAGCCACGTGAGTATAATTCAATTCACAGAGTAATGACGAAACATTGCAATAGAACATTTTAAAACCTTCGTTTAAAAAAAAAAATAAAAGGCAGCTTAAGGGTAGGAGTTTTCCAAGACGAATGTGAATTTCAGGACAAGAGACCCTGTTTCGGCCAGAAGGCGGCCGACCAGAGACGAAGGCCCTAGACGCACGGTCCCGGCCCCAGGACACAGCGCTGTCGGGTGACCTGCGCGGAGGGGCCGCGCTCGATGTCAGCTCTGTGCCCGGCTCAGTGCAGAGCACGCAGCGCACAGCAAACGGCACCAGCCTGGCGGGCCCGGGGTGTCCCTCCCACGTCTAGGTCCTGCCCGCAGCTCCGAAGGGACCGAGCGGGAGCCTGACCCATGTCTGTCTGGGTCCCGGCCCTGGGCTGCCACGGCCTGGCGCTCACCACCCTTCCCCAGAGCTGCCAGACTCAGCAGGTGCCTGGCTGAGGGCCAGAGGCGCCGGGGATGAAACTCCTTGGAGGCTGCGTGACAAAGGACGTCCAGAGCGGCAGGTGGAGGGACTGGTGGGGACGCTGCGTCCTGCAGCCTCAGAGGGTGGAGAACTGCCTATGGTCCTTCTTCTGTAATCACGTCACAAGTCAGAGGGAGTGTGCGTGGGCGCTCGGCGGCGCCGGGGGCCCTGCGCACCTCCCCGCCCCTCCCGCGCGGCCAGCGCCCTCCCCACGAGCCACTCCTGCTGCACAGCCTAACAGAGACCCAGAGGGGGCACGTCGCTGGGTCACAGTCACACAGCAGAGAGTTCCCAGAGCCTGGATCGCAGCCCGGGCAGGTGCGCTTCCAAAGCACGTGCTGGTCGCGCCCCGCATGCTGTTGTCCCTTGGAAATACACTCGTGCTGCGGGCACTCGATGCCCCGTCTCCAGTAGCCAGGATGTGGCAAGGGGTCCCTCCCTTTGCTGGAAGATTGGGGCGGATGTTCTCTCTTCGCAGGAACAGTATGACTCAGTAGAAAGTGAGACAGATTCAGGGCTCCCGGCCCGGCTCTGCTGTTACTTTCTGTGTGACCTCAGGCAGACCACTTACCCTCTCTGAGCTGTACAGCTTCATGGCCACATGAGGATGCGTAGGCTTCCTGTCATGGCCGTTGTGAGGGCTCCGGGAGCCAGGAGGTCAGGAGGAGAGCCCCTTGCGTTGGCTACAGTGACCACGGTGTCCTCACCCTCAGGCGGCGAGGTGCCCGGGAGTCTCTGAAGGCTTGGGACCAGTTTCCGTGGCACCCAAACTCCAAGCGCCCCACCTACAACAGGGCGAGGGAAAGAAAGGTGGGAGGAAGGTACAGAGAAGCTCGGCCTGGTTTCTCTGGGCTGCCGGTCATCAGTCCCTGAACGGGGAAGGACAGGTGTCTAGCAGGAGACCCCGGCCAGAGGCTGGAGGCCAGCTGGGTCACCCCTGGTAGCCTGGGGACAGCTGGTCGTCGTGGTGAGGAGAAGGAACCACTCAGAGTCCAGCAGACACCAGGCCCGTGAGTGGCCATCGTTGGTGGACCGGGCAGAGCATGCCGGACCCCCGGTCTGTGTGGTGATGGCGGTGACCAGCCGTGGTCAGGGGCTTGATGCTGAGCACATGGAACCGTCCCCCCCGGCCTCACGTACAGCCGGCCGGAGAGGCTCCTCGTGTGGTTGGACAGATGACGAAGTGCAGGAGCTGGGAAGATGCCCGTAAGCTCGGTCACCAACGGAGCCGAAGAAGGTGTGAGAAGGACGACAAAGGAGTGGGGGCATCTGGCCCGGTGAGGCGGGCGGGAGGCGTGGAGTTCCTGAGGCCTCGTTGCTGGGCGGCCGTCCCACCCCCAGGAGGCCAGCGGAGGCTGAGCTGGTGGAGGACAGAGTTCGGCTCTGCTGCCTGCCCCCCTCCCCACCCTGGGAGCTCCTTGTTTACCTGGAGCAGGTTGGCTGTCAGCCATGTTTGGGGGCCCCACTGCACCCCACGAGCTCTGGCTTTAATCAGTGCAGGAGCACAGCTGTCCATGCCCACGAAGAGGCCACTGTGCCGGGACCCGGGCTGGGGCTGACAGTTGTCACTGCCTCTTCAGAAGCAGGCGGAGGGGGCCTCGGCGCACCCTGCTTGGGAGGCTCGGTCATTAATAACGTCTGATCAACCATAATCCCTTGATAATCAAGGAGCTTGGGAACCGTTCAGAGCGCGGAAGCCCCCCAGAGCTGATGGTGACGCGCACTGCGCCGCCTCCTCGGCAGGAGGGGGATCATGTGCAGGGGAGCCCCCAGCTCAGGGGCCATGCTGGTGTTGCCTGGGGTGCGGGCACAGGGGAGGGCGGCCAGCAGGAGACGGAGCCCCGTCGGCATCTGCTCCCACTCCCAAAGCTGGGATCTGCGGGCCGATGGGGAGGATGACCGAGAGGAGGGACGTGTGACCATGGGAGAAGGGCGCACTTGGAGGAACATTCTAGAAGGACGCCCTGCCCTTGGCCCTGTGAGGGGAAGGGCGGGTGGCAGGAGGGGCGAGAGGGACAGAAAAAGCAGGGAGCCCTCCCAGCCACGTCCTCTCGGCTCCAGCAGCCACGGGGAGGATGAAACTGTCTCCACATCTTGGGGGGGGGCAGGATGAGGGGGAGCGAGGGCCATGGGTCCTGGCGCTCAGCGGCTCCATCCATCACCGCGGCTGTGCCCCCTCTCAGATGCCGGCCCCAGAGGAAGGACATCGGGGAAACAAAGCGGGGGGTGGGGTGGCGGGAATGCGGGGCCCGAGCGGGGTGACGTGACTGACGTGTGGCCCTCCTGCCCTGCCCGCAGGGTACCAGATCGCCTACCGCCTGGCCAGCAGCAGCCCCAACACGTTCACCACGGTGGAGGTGGGTGCCACGGTGAGGCAGTTCACGGCCACCGAGCTGGCCCCGGAGTCCGCGTATATCTTCAGGCTGTCGGCCAAGACGAGGCAGGGCTGGGGGGTGCCGCTGGAGGCCACCGTCATCACTACTGAGAAGAGAGGTAAGACCCAGGGCCGAGTCCACCGTTGTGGTGCTCCGGGCAGGAGAGCTGGGCCTGAACGGGAGCCGCAAACTTGCTGGCCGCGCGGCTTTCCGGGTCAGGCCCTGCACCGTCTCACGTCTACACAGCCCAGCGTTTACCGGACAGGCAGGCATGTCCCTCTCTGCTCCCAGAGCCATTGTGTAACTGGTCCAGGGTGGCTCTGAGTCACCACGTTGGAGGGCGGCTCCCTGAAGCCGGGCACGTGGTGTCTGATGTTCACAACCACGTGCCCAGCTGAGCAGGCGCTCAATAAACAGTTTCCTGCCAGGCAGTCCTAGGGAGACCTGGGCACTGGCGAGGTGCCTAGTATATGTTGTCTTGGTTTATCCTCACCAGAGGCTGGCGAACAAAGTGCTGTGAGCCCCGTTCTACAGAGGAAGTGGGGGCCCAGACAGATGCAGTCATCTGCCGGGGACGCAGCTGTGGAGCAGTGACGTGGACACCCTCCACAGGCCCCCAGGCCGCCTCTTCCCACAGAAATCTGCTGTGGGTCCCCATCTCAGTGAGCCCCTGACGTGCCCTCCAGCCTCGCTCTGACATCTGCCTCAGCCGGCTCCCTCCCCAGGGCCACCCCCACTCCAGGTGCGGAGGTCAGGGCCAGGCCCAGAGGTCTCGGGGAAGAGGACAGGAAGGCAGGTCTGCTCGGAGAGATGACCTGTCCAACTCCCATCTAGGAGTCCCCAGGCACCAGGCTCTGGAGCCGTGGGACTTCAGGCAAGGCCCTCCCCCCCTCTGTGCCCTGGCACCCAGGCGGTGGCCTCCTGGGAAGCACCGAGGGCCAGCACGGTCCGCAGACCTCCGGGGGCAGAGCTGGTGCCATGGCTGTGCTCAGAGGGTGAGCCGGTGTCCTTGCAGCCTGTGTGATGTAGATCGAGAGCAGACAGTGTAAGGGAGGCAGAGTGCTTGAAAAACCACGCGCAGGCCCAATCCGAAACCCGCAAAAGGAAGCTGACATGCGCTGAGCCCTCGCCACATTCTGGCCACGCTCTGGCCACAGTCCAGGCACTGCAGCCCACTGCTCTCTCTAATTCCCACACAGGCAGGCCGAGCAGGTGGGGAAGCTGATGCCCCACAAGGTCCAGCGGCCACTCGGTGGCTGCTCAGGAGAGGGCCGCTCGGCCCAGGCACACGGCTGACCCTTCTGATGGCCAGCGGGGGCGGGGGGGGGGACACTGGCGTCACCTGTCCATGGCTTCGGATCTTCTGGGGGCTTCACACCTTCCAGAGGAAGGCCGAACCCTTCAGCCCGCTATGAGTCCCCCGACCCCAGCCACTGAGCCTCAGTCCCCCAAGGATGATGACAAATGCACAACCCCTCCTCCTCCTCCAACGGTTACCTCTGCTGTTAACTGGAGGATGGAAGCCTTGGAGTCACTGGAGATGCCAAAGCATGAAGCAGATGGAGAGACAGCCGTGCACACTCGGGCCCCTGGCTATGGGCACACAGCACTGTCCGACCTCTGGCCCCCAGCACGGGGGGCCCCTAGACAGAGGACAGGCGCCAGGAGAACCCCCTCCTGCCCAGGTCCGCAGGCTCCCCCTTGTCCAGGACACGCTCGGGGCCCTGAGTGCCTCTCCCAAAGGCTCTTGCCTTCTCCCTCAGAGTTGATGCAGCCCCACAGGGAAATCCAGCACTTTCTAAGGCACAGGGAAAGACACAGGTTTGCTAACGGTTTGACGTGACTCAAATCCAAGTGGAAGCATTAACACGAGTGCCCTTCAGGAGGCACCCGGGTCCACAGCAGGGTTGCTGCTGGTGGGGCTGGGGGGACGCACGCCCACACCCTGGCCCGCCCCCCGACCACCCGCACCAGCTGCCGGGGCCCATAGAGCTTAGGGGATTTCCGCCAGGGCCCGCAGAACCCCCAGCAGAGTTTGCGCATTGCCAGTTTGTCCAGAAGGGTGGTCCTTGCAGCTGGTGAGGGGACGCAGGGCTATTGCTCTGGGGAGGAGGAACCGGGCAGCCAAGCGTGTGCTCCCAGAGGAGCGCCGACCACGTCAGGGGGAAGGGCTGCTCCCACTGTCCCCGCAGGTCACTGCTCTATTACCCACCACACATTCTCAACAGGATCAATAATCTTCATGATAAACAATTGAACAATTATTCTTTCCTCTGTGGAGTTTCTCTGCTGCAATCGATGGGGCGAGGAGACACATGACGGGAACGATCCACGCTCAGGAGCCAGGTCCTGGCCCCCTGCGCCCTGCACTCCCAGGCGCCAGCGCTGTGGGCACAGAGCAGCGGTGACAGCCCCCGCAGTTGCTGAGCGGGACACCGTCCGTATTTCAGCCTCGGGTTGGCTTCCAGGGAAAGGAGTCAGCATGACAGATGCACTGAGCCCGAGACCGGAGGGAGAGCCCACAGGGGCCTGGAGGTGTCACTCAGAGATGCCCAAGGGACGTGTGGTCATCGGGGAGCATGTGTGGGCTCACCCTCCTGTCTGTCTGTCTCCGCACCGAGAGAAAGCCAGGGTCTCCAGTCAGATCCGGGCCGTGGCAGGTCGGGAGCCGGCCGCCAGGCAGCCTCAGGTGCCCGAGGGACCGGGAATCAGCTCCCTGTTCTCTGCCTTCCTGGAAAACAGCCTCTCACGCGGCCCTGGTCTGTTCTCTCTTGGTTGCAGAGCGACCGGCGCCCCCCAGAGAGCTCCTGGTGCCACAGGCCCAAGTGACCGCCCGCAGCCTCCAGCTCCGGTGGGTTCCAGGCAGTGACGGGGCCTCCCCCATCCGCTACTTCACCGTGCAGGTGCGAGAGCTGCCCGGGGGAGAGTGGCAGACCTACTCCTCGTCCGTCAGCCACGAGGCCACAGCCTGTGCTGTCGAAAGGTACCCAGAGCCAGGCGGGCCCTCCCCGGGGAACGCAGCAGGACAGCTCACATCTCTTCTCCGAGTGCACACTCCCTGTACCAGGGACCGGGACTCCCCTCTGCCGGAGCCCGCTCCGGCCTCTGCCCCGGGTCTGTCCTTCCGGGCCTGCCCTGTGCAGGTGGTGTGCACACCCCAGGGCCCAGGGATGGACGAGGCACAGATGACGGGGCCAGCGAGCCTGCAAGTGCGGGTTCCCGCACCCTACAGCACCCTATCCCCTGAGAGGCGGAGGAGGGGGAGGTGGGGGCAGGGGTGTCACGGCTGAGAGTCGCACCTTCTCTTTGTGCTCTCTCTCCGAGTCAGCAAGGCAGATGGCTCCCCCACCTGCTATCACCCACCGGTGATGGCTGATCAGGGAAATGGGGGGGCGTCCCCACTGTGCCGTGAGAACCCAGCATTTATCCAGTTACTGAGTGAACCACCAGGCAAAGGCAGAGCGGAGTGGTGCCGACCACCACAGCTCAGCTCTTGGCACCTACGGCCTCATTTGGGCCCCTTTACATGTTCCCACTCCCCTCTATGGTGAGGGACCAGGGCACCCCCCTCTATGGTGAGGGACCAGAGAACCACCCCCTTATGGTGAGAGACCAGAGCACCCCCCCTACAGTGAGGAACCAGGGCACCCCCTCTACGGTGAGGGACCAGGGCACCCCCCTCTATGGTGAGGGACCAGGGCACTCCCCTCTACCATGGGGGACCAGGGCTACGTAACTGTCTAGGTGAGGGTTCTCAGCAGTGACCTCAGGCCCTGCATCCCCACCTGGGGGGCCCGGGCTGCGCAGGCTCACCCCACCCTTCAGAAGGCCCCTGGGTCTGTCCGGTGGGCAGGCCTGTCCCGGGAGCTGGCCTGGCACCTTCCCTGTCCTCCTTCTCTGGCCCTGACTGTGGTCACTTTCTGTGAAGCCCACATCAGGCTGTGGGGGGGCCACAAAGGAGCATGCCCCACCGGCTCCGAGGCTGCCAGGACCCTGGCCAGCACCTCGCGCTGGGAGGATGGAAGAGGCCTAGACCCCGTTTCCCAGGCTGGCCCATGTTCCTCTCACCTCAGACAGAACACCACATACATTGCCCCCTGTTCTGGGCACCGTGCTGGGAAATCTCGCACACATTTCTCGTTGAACCCGCAGGATTGCCCAGCGGGGGAGGTCATCGTCCCCATCCTACAGAGGGGAGTGGGTCGCCTGCAGCCCCAGCACCTCCCCCAGGTGTGCTGACCCTCCTCCTCTGCAAGGCCGCCGGGCTCGGCCCCTGCACACTGCTGAACCTGAGCCCAGGAAAGGAGCAGCCGGGCATTGGGGGGGTGGGGGGATGCCGGGCTCCTGCAGCAGCCTGATCCTCAGACACCCCCCACCCCCCAGGCACAGTCCAGGCTGCGGGGGATGGGGGGGTGGCGTGTGGCTCTTCCACTGCTTCTAACGTGCGGCAACAGCAAGGTTTAGAGAGAACGGGACCCCCCCCCCGTGGGTTCGAGGTGACACGTGACGCACACGTGGGTGCAGTCAGCACTGGGGCATCATGGGAAGGCAGACTTTGAGGCCACAACTGTCCAGGCTCAGGTCGGCTTCCGGCCACGTGCCGTGGGGGCGGTCTTGGGCGGCTCCCCAGCACTCACCTTCCGGCTTGTTGCACGGTCCGGGGCCATGCGGGGCCTGGTGGCACCAGGCGGGGGACAGTGGCGGCCGCCCTACACAGCCCCCCCAGGAGGCACGGCTGCGTGTTGTCAGCATCCTCGTAGCACACCCATGGGTGGCCCCAAGCAGGTGGCACAGATGTCCCGGCGTCTCCGTCGTGGCTCCCAGACCTAATGCCCCCTGGGGGGAAGGCCTTTGGAGCGGGTTCCAGTCCCAGAAGGAGGGCAGCTCATCGGCTCTCAGCTCCAGCCGCCTGGGGCCCGAACGATACTCCGTGCACAGTGACCGCCTCCCTCACACGCTCCCGGGAGCACCAGTGGCGTCTGAAAGCCCAGCGCGGACGGTCCCCGAGCACAGGGGCTGTTTCCAGCAGGGCCAGAGGCACCGCCGGGCCCCCCGCGGGGAGGGCATCAGTAGCTCCGATGCGAGAGCCTGAGGCTCATCCACCTGCCCGAGGTTACGCAGGGGTTAACGTGTAGGCACGCTCCGGAGTGCATGCTCCTGGCAACCGCCCTGGGCCGCCTTCTAATCTGCGAAGGAGAAGCTAATGCAAATGTGGGCCTCAGGTGGTTGAGGCAGGAACCAAAGGAGAAAACCATGTGGTTGTCACCAGAATTAGATAAAAGAGCTCCTAGGAAGCTAGGAACAGATGGGAAGTTATTTGTTTTAATAAAGGATAGCTCCCCAGAAACCGGGAGCAAAGATCATTGTTAAGGGTGGAACTTCGGAAGCACCCCAGGACAGCGAGGGCCAAAGCAAGGTCGCCCAGCACGGCTTCTCCAGCTGTGGAACGGGGGCGTAGGGAGGCCAGGAGACAGGCCCGTGGTCACGGACCAGCCGTGGCAGGGCAAGCTGGGGTGGCAGAGGGCCTGAGGGAAGAGCATCCACTGAGGTGCCGGCCGACAGAGAACCACTGTAATCCCATCGTAGGCCGGGGGGGCATATGAAAACAGAGTCAGGGGAAGATTCTTCCGATCCTGTGTCCAGAGATGGTTATCAGTCTTTGAAAACGCAGAATCCTTCCTCTAGACCAAGGATTACCCAGACCCCACTTGCAAACCAGATGGGGGTTTGGGGACATGGGGACCCCCTGGTCTCCTGGAGGACCCCTCAGAGCCTCCAGGGTTCCACGGGGCTCAGTTTGAAACCTACGAGTTTACAGGTTGGCCCGGGAGGGGGGACAGAGGACCGCCTTGGAGGGGGGTTTGCCCGCCGGTAGCTGAGGAAACAGGTCGAGTCCCGAGCCGCTCCTGTTCTCCTGGTCTGGGCGATGGACACGGGCCGAGCCTTGCCCGAAACAGAGCTGCTGTCAGCGGGACAGGGGTGGGAGGCGGGGGGTCTCCTCATCTGCTCCTTCGGAAGTAATGGCAAGGATAGCCAGGGACCCGAGGAAGACCGGAGCTCGTCCGCTCAGAAGCCTGTGCGGAGTCTGTGTGGTACAGAGCTCAGCACAGGAGACCGTCCACACAGACCGCGTCGATGGAGGGAGGCAGGGAGGCCTGAGCGGTGGCAGCAGGCCATGCACCCGGGGCATTAGGGCCCCTTAAATCCCCTAGGAGCCTTCCCCCACGGACGGTTGGCATTACCTCGGTCTTCGGTACAGCAGAGAGGCTGCCTCGAGACCAGATCCTCTTCCAGTCCTGGCCAAGCCAGGGGCAAGGGGCTCAGTGGGGCCGGGCCTCGAGTTTCTCATGCCCGCAATGGGAATCACACACCCCCCAGAGCTGCTGTGCGGTGACCCGGGCACTGCCTGGCCGGGCACACGGCGGGGACGAGGGGCAGGTGGGCCGGGCCAGCACCAACCTCCACGAAGGCGCGCTTGCGGGCCCTCGCACCACGCTCTGAATCGCTCCCAGTCGTGTGAGGGCTGTGGTAAATTAGCTCCTCCTGAGAAATTCCCGCGTCCCTCAGAGAGCGGGGATTTGCTCTGCAGGAGAGGCTCTAAGGACAGGAGGAGCCCCGAGTAAAACCGCCACCCCGGGTCAGGACGTTCGGCACTTCGCTCCGTCCCTGGGGGCAGGCTGGGAGGACAGTGCCGGCCTCCTGAGGGCCCCTCCCCGGCAGGATGGATTCCCGGTCCCTGAGCCAGGGCCTCTTCCTCCGGGCTGCCCACTCCCTGTGGCCAGAGCGTAGGTCAGGACAGAGGGGAAGGGCTCAGGCCCTCACGGCTCTTCTGTTTCAGGCTGAGGCCCTTCACTTCCTACAAGCTGCGTCTGAAAGCCACCAATGACATCGGGGACAGTGACTTCAGCACGGAGACGGATGCGGTGACCACGCTGCAGGACGGTGAGCCAGCTGGGCCCCAGGCCGGCGTGCAAACACAGACCCCTGCCCGGCTGCACCTTTGGACCCCGAGACACGGGCTCCCGGAGAGAGGCCCCGCTTCCATTGGAGCCAGGAAGGGGTTACCCGGGGGAGGAGGGCCGTGGCTGGTGAGCAGGGGGACTCGGGTAGCAGCAGACCGCTCAGAGCGCCCCATACAGCCTGGGGCCGTGAAGCCAACTTCAAGGGCTCGTAAGTGGAACGGGTTCCTTTGATTGGTTTCCAAACCCCTACGATCCATTAGCATCCTAGACATTGAATAATTTATAGGTTCATTAAAAATAAATGTGGAAGGGTAGCTGGTTTTTGAGAGGTTTCCCCATTTTTCTTATCCACAAACCACTCTGCAGTTTTGCCATTTGACAGAAGCACAGGGAAGGGATGGAGGGAGATCCCCTAAAAGCTCCAGGTGGTTCTTAACCGCTCTCTCCCACCTCAGAGGAGCAGGCCCAAAGATCCCTTGTGATTTCGGGTGCCGATCCTGCCAGGCCCGGTAGCAGGCCGACTTAGGACACGAGGGTTGCTCTTGCCTCTTCGGATCCCGGGCTGCGAGCCTGAGCCCTCAGCTCACCCAGCAGCACTGGGTACTCATTCCCCACATTTCCATCTTTCTCCTTTATAACCTGGGAGCATGGCTTCACCAACATGAGGCCTCAGGCGAGCCGAGGACCAGCAGAGGGGTTTGGGGGACCCTTCTAGCTTCTCGGCCTCACACGGAGATTCCTCTGCTGCACACCCAGGCCGCCCGCCGCTGGGACAGCGCCTCGAGAAACTGTGGTTGTCTTTGTGGCTCGTGTTTTAATCTTACATTTAACACAACTGGGGTTCTTTTTGGGAGTTAGCACTAATTCTTAGAAGAAAGAGGCAAACACAGAAGCTGATTTTGTTGGCGAGTCTTTGAGGAAATCACAAGCGGGTGAGCAGGACACCACAGACTCCCTTTGCCCTTACAGGGCTCAGGCTCCTTCAGAAATGGCCTGTTCTGAAAAAAAGCATTCGAGGGCCTCTCCAGGTTCCCAAAGGCCTGTCTAGTTCTTTGATACTTAAATCATTTCTTTTGGTGCACCTATCCTGTTAATCTTCCTCTTCTGAGATTTGCAGTTTCTCTAGCAGTTGACTGCATTGTTTGCACTGTATTGTCTCCAGAACCACAGATCCGCTGAGAGGGACAGACTCCGGGGCTTGGGGAGCCCTGGGCCGGGGTCGGGGGGCTTTCAACGTGTGGATGGTTTGCTGATAAACATTGCCTTGCTATGGTGGTTGGGATATTGAGACCCCCTCAATCCAGCATGATCCAGAAAGCTGAATAAGGGTCCACCGTGGGCCTCAGGAGGCCAGAGAGCACAGGGTAGAGGGCTCCCCAGAAGGCAGGAGGGGGTGCTGCTGGTGTGGCTGATACCAGCATGTCCCAGGTGCTGGGCACACTGGCAGGTGTGGAGGAGACTCACAGGGCAGGTGGCCGAGGGGCCAAGTCTCGGACAGTCAGTGGGTGTGGGGTGGGGAGAACAGCCTCAGTCATTCCGCTCAGTGACTCTTGGCGAGCATTTGATATACGGTCTCAGGATCTTACAGTGGGCAGCCTTGAAAAGGCCAGCCCGGCGTGCCGGCAGGACCGCAAGGGTTCAGTGGGAGCAGAGGTAGGGAAGGGGTGTCCGAGGAGGCCCATGGGACAGACGGATGGCGCAGGACTGTAGTTTCCAGCATGCAGGGCACGGCCACGGGCAGAGCCAAACTGACCAGATCCCTCCGGAGAGCAGAGCCGAGCAGCCACGGCCGCTGCCCCGAGCACAGCCGCCATCCCTCTGCCCCAGAAGTCGGCCTCCCTCCCTTAGGGTCTGAAACCAAGAGCACTCGGGCCTGGCTTGACCCTTTGTCCCGCCCAGAGCCTCTCTGACCTAAGTACCTCCAACAAATGATGCTCTCCTCCAGGGAGGGCCCCTGAGAAGATGTGGGACAGCAGGAGGGCTCCCCAGGCAGGGTTCCCAGGGAAGAGAGCCAAGCGCTTTTGTGTGTGCTGTGTGGGTCTGCTGGGGGGCAGGGGGCGGGGGGACAAAGGCAGGGCATTATCTTGTCGCCTCCATCAGGATCAGTCCCTTCTCTCCGGGCAGGAATGGGCTCCGCAGGCGGAGAAGGGCATCCATCCACGGGGAAGCAGGGGAGGCGGGGATGTTGGCTTGCCGGCTTCCCACCCTCCCCCCCAGCCGGTCCCTGAACCAGGAGGGAGCTGGCTCCAGAACGGCAGCCAAGAACAAGCAGAACCAGCTAATCCTCACTTTTTTCTTTCTTGGATTCCAGTTCCGGGAGAGCCTCCAAGTTTTGTCTCGGTCACGCCGCACACCACCTCCTCTGTTCTGATCCAGTGGCGGGTAAGGGCTGGGAAGGGCAGGGTGTTTCCTGCACCAGCGTCAGAGGCTGGAGCCTGCCCACCTGCCGCGCCCCATGTCAGCGTCTGAGGGTCGGCGGTGGGTCACAGGACACCGCATGGTTGGCTGGCCAGGGGGAGCACCGTGGACCCCCTGAGCCACGCTGTGGGAAGGAGCCTGAGCATGGCTCCCTGGGGAGAGCAAGCGGAATGGCGGGGCTGGTGCAGGGCATCCGGGGCTGAATGTTCCAGGCATTTGGGGAAGGATGGCCCGGCGAGGCCTCCATGGTACACACAGAACTGGGTGGCATCCGACAGGGCCGCGAAACCGTAGCCTGGGGAGTGATCTTTCCTCCAGGAATCGTCCACTACCAGATAAAATACCCACAGGGTTACATGCGTCCTGCCTGCGTTCCAGGTGTTAATCCTCAGTGAACAGTCCAATCAAGGCATCTTGTCCTAGACAATCGAGTGGTGTTGGTGGGCCTTGAACAGTGCTGTAATATGATGTCGAAAGGACACTCTGCCCTCTCTTGGCCTTATTTCCAGTTTGGGTACTTTTGTCAACAGCAATGTTCATGGAAGACAAAAATAATAGAGGGGGGAACTGGCAAGGAAGAATGCCCCGGCTCAGGACAAGCCCAGCAAGGGTGCTCACGGGTCTGTGGAGAGGGCTCAGCCAGGCTGGGGGGTCAGGTTCAGCAGCCGGGCTGGAGCCAGGCCAGACAGACACAGCAACGGGCAGGGCCAAGGGCAGCGATGGGAACGTTGTAGGTGCTCTGGTCAGCAAGGGAAGCTCCTGAGACCAGGATGGGGCGGCCTTCCAGGAGAGGGCAATGCCTAGGGCCGGGGTCGTGGGGTAGGGAGGTGGGAGCAGGTGCCCTGGTCTGTGTTCATGGCCACAGTGAGGTGAGGTCTGCCTAGGAGTGGCCACGGTAGGCTGGTGGTCCACAGAGTGGTCTGTGCAGCTGAGCTTCTTCCTCCAGGTTGACAAGATTGTCCAGGAGAGTGCCAGCATCACATCCAGACCAGGCAAGAGAGAGGGGACAGTTTGAGGTCAGGAGACATAGGGGCCCAGGGGATGTAGGGACCAAGAGCAAACTGTGGCCTGGACACGGCCTTAGAGAGGTAGAGGCCGTGCCTAGCCGGGGACAGAGGCTGGCAAGAGGGGAGGACTGGAAGGGACTCCCTTGCAAAAGGAGGGGCCAAAGGGTGTGGGCGTGCCAGGAAACCCAGAGGAGGCCCTCGGGGAACCTGTCCTAAATGGACCGCCTCCATGGGCCTTGTAGGCAGGGACAGATCTTGCTGGAGACCCCTCCAGGCTAGGGCTGGTGCCCAGCAAGGAGCAAGGGGGAGAGAAGTTAGGAGCCCTCCCCGGCCTCCTGGCGCTGCTGATGGAGCAGGGGTGCTGGGCAGGAAGACCAGGGTTGGGGTGCGTGCGCCAGCCATGAGGGGGCTTCCTGAACTCTCAGGTGGTGGCTCCTAACCGCTGAAGGTTCCTGCTGCCTCCCCTTATGTGGCAACTTGGCATCGGTAGGTATTAGCTCTACTCACGTGCAATTTGACCCTGAGCGAAGAGCGCAGGTGGAAATTCCATGCGGGTCAAAGGAACAGACTTGACACGGCCACTCCAGGAGGGACGAGAGCGGGACTTTCATAGCCTGGGCTCCATGAGGCACGCAAAATCTCCAGGTATTGACAGAGTGGCTGTGGGCCTCTCCTTCACTCCACTGCCAAGTGACATGTCTCAGAGATGAGGGAACCCTTAAAGGTGATCAAGAGACCATTCCAAATGTCTTCAAGTGAACGTGGAAATTCGCTGCCTGGCGTTGTGTAGTTTCCAGCCTCACCAGTGTGGGGACAGGATGGGAACTGGTTCCCAACCCTGCCTCTGGGCGGCTGTGTCCCCTCAGCTTGTCTCAAGGCCCCACTGGCTCTAGGTCCATGGACCCCAGTTTGCCAGTGGATGACATGACCCCAACAGGCCTCTCTGGTTCCCTGTTTTCCCTCTGTAAACATAGGAGGTCGAAGGTGACCTTCAAGGTCTCTGATGCAAGGCCCATTAGGTCTCGCAGCCCTGACTTCCAGCAGGGCCTTTGGTGGGAGGTGGGAGACATTCAGAGTAGAAATTCAAGGTCCCAAGAGCTTCTGCTTCCCACTCTCCACTAACTTAATCAACCCAAAGATTGGTCTTCTCTACTGTGCTAAATTTCCTTTGTAGACGTGGCATTTGGCGAGCCGGTAACTAGGTAACCTCCTTTTCTATAAAGGCAGCTCGGAGGCTTGGGATGGGCCATTGCCTCCACACGGTGGCTGTAGGCCCCCGCCGTCCTGACCCCCGAGCACGCGGGGCTCCGAGCCCCGTGGTTGAGGTTGGACAGCTCTGTGAATGGCGGAGAGCTGTACCAAAGGAACTTGGCACGCATGTCCATCAGCTGTCCCCGTTTAGGGCCCAGTAGAACAAACTAATTGCAAGAAGCCCAGAGCAGGAGGTGGTCAATATGATGTATTGTAGAAATAATTGCCCGTCAAGTGCCAAGCAATTGAAGTATAATTAAAATTATGAGTAATTTCCTAAATCAGAGCGAACAGAACAAAGAGACTATGTTTAAATATAGATTTGCATTCCAAATGAAATGTTTCACCTGTAAACCCCTTTTCTTCCAGTAATTTGTTTAAAAATTACTGCGAACACCGCCTGTAATTTCAAGGCTGGTGACCCACTTAAATGTCTCCTCCATAGAAACTGTCAGGTTTGATTTTTTCCTGGTGGGATAATCAGTCTCTGCCTCTCATGGGGTCCAGTGCAACTTGAAATCTAAGGATTTGAGCGTGTGTTCTAGACAGTGGCGGTATTTTGTTCACACTGAGGGCAGCTCACAATAGACACTGGCGTTTCTGAATTGGTCATGGCAGAAGCTGGCTACTCTGAAAGTTCCCGTGGCTCATACGGTCTGTCACTCAAGTGTAGTTCCTTGGGTGGTTAGAGACAGTGGATTTTCAGGCCATTTTTTAGCAAAAAAAACAAAAAACAAAAACAAAAAAACTTGTTAGCGATAGATCACATTATGCACGTTGGACTCAGCAGAGGGTGGATTCGGTGTTGTCATAGGTGCCTTCCTAGGAGGAGCGTGACCACCACCTGGACAGAGGGGAGCAGGCAGCGGGGCCTCTTCAGGACGTCTTTGGGGTTTGTTCCTTCTCTCACGTGGGCTCCATCCCCTGCAGAAGACCAGCTCCTGTGTAGGGTGCTGAGTACCCAGAGGTGGACAAGACAGACTCCAGGCCTTGAAGAGCTTCTGTTTACTGGGCTGAGCCCTAGGATGCAGTAATGGGAAGACAGTGGAGGGGGAACTGGGAGAGGACTTCTGACTGTGTTTTGCAGGATGAATGCCCCCCCACCCCAAGTAAAGGGCAGAGATGGGCATCTGGGCATCACCCACAGCTGGAGCAAAGGCTCAGAGGTGTGACGGCCCCTGGGACTCAGCACTGGGTGTCAAGGGGAAGCACGTTGGAGCCAGGTTTTGTAAGGCCTCCTGTGCTCAAGCATCTCCCGGACAGATGGCCAGTCCAGGATGAAACCAACCATAGATGGGGTGATCTTGGATGTCACTCCCACAAGCAATGAGTGAGCGCCTGCCATGACCAAAACCTGTCACAGGTGCTGCAGGGAAATAGAAACGAAAAGACACAGACCCGGCCTTGCCTTCAGGCAGTGTGGAATCAGAAACGGCAGTGTGGTCAGGACCAAGGGCTTGAAGAGCAGGTCTGTGGCTGGAAGAGAACCTTCTGTTTAGAGTCACAGGAGGCTCTAGACATCATCTCGCCAGACTTCCACCTGCTATGGGCCCAGGGCTGAGCCTGGGAGGGTGAGCCACCAGCCCAGGTCCACACTGCAAGGAGCCAGGACTCGAGTCCAGAGCCTGAACACGGCCCATGGCTTCTAGCACTCTCCATGTGTCACATGGAGCTGCCCTCCTGATACCTCCCAGGAGGTCCAGAGTCTTTCATGAATGACAGATGGGTTTACTCCAAACTCTAGGAATAGAAAGTGTGGTTAAACGCTATTCCAAATCCCGTGCAGGCAAGCCCCAGAATCTCCGTGGAGCCTGTCCTTCCTGGGGCCGGAACCCACGGCAGCCTTCACGAGGCCACGCCTGGGCTACGTGGCCACCTGTCCCCCAAGCCCGGATGGCTTCTGCGGGGAGGGCAGCGCTAGGGCCTCTCCTGCCTGGTTGCAGGTAGCAGTTGCTCCTGTGAGCGCGGGCTTGGCTTCTCCTCACACCTCAAAAGCACCCTTTCCTCCTTGGCTAGAAATGTTCGTGAGCCCAGGATCCATGGCCTCGGCCCTTCTCCTCTGTCCTCTGGCCCCAGCATGAGCGTGGACACACATGCCGTGGGTGGGGTATTTGCTGCCTGTTGCAGAACCCTATGTGGTCCCCAGTGAGGACAATTATTTTCCCAAACTCCCAACTTCCTGCTGTTGATAATTGTGGTGAGCTAAACCCCAGCTTCTCTCCACGAGACGTGGATTACCCTCGAGCTATTGTGTCTCAGTCCTGTGCATCTGCAGAGTCAGGCCCTGGGGCCTTTGCAGCCTCCCTGGGGAGGGGGGCCGCTTGTGCCTGAGGCTGCCACCACCACACCCCAGGATTTTGAGGGAGGCTGCGGGGGTGACCCAGCAGCAGTGACATCGCTGGGCTGGTACTTAAATAGACCCAGCCGCCTCTACCCTCCCTCTGATTCCAGTCAGCTCAGGTCTCAGGGAAGGGAGCGCAGCATGTCTCCTCATCTCTGCCCAGACCCCTTCACTCCTCCTTGCTGCCACTCGAGGACAGTGCCTGGGGACGCTCAGCCAGGATGGCCCAAGGCTCCCGGGGTGCAGGAAGTGCTGTGAGGAAAGCTGGATGTGGACACGAAGCATTCCCGTGCGTTACTCCCTGAGCTCCGGTGGTGCACGCGGTGTGAGCAAACACCTACTCGTAGGAGCTCCTCTGACCTTCCTGGTGTCCCGTCCTCGCTTCAGGGGAAACACGGGGGCCCGGAGCTGTCCCCGCTCCCTCACGGCCTATGCACCAAACCGCCGTCCCGAGGGACAGAGATGCTGGATCTGGGGAGCATTTCACTCTGCCCTCCTTGCGGGAGGTCACTTCCCGTACTCTTTCTATAAAATTTAGGGGATGGGATGAAGCAACGTCTCTTTTTCATTCTTAGACATCAGTTTTCCAACTTTTCCATTCATCGTATTTCTTTAAGAAGGGGATTAAATAAGCTCTCTGTTACAACGTGGTGATAGCTGTGTCTGAAGGACACCCCGTGGAGTTAGGATTTTAATTCTCAAGTGCGGCCAGTCAGAAACCCAGGACTAGAGCTGAAGAAGCAGATTGTCGCGACCACCATCTCTCCTTATGAACAGCTGCGTGTGTGCACGCAGTGTCCGCGCACACGGTCCCCGCTCCGTCCACATCCGCGGGGAGGCACGTGCGCCAACACCGTACCCAGCGCCAATCAGCAGTCACGCCGAACGGCCCCCACCTCCTACCGCGGGAGCCAGTTTCTAAAGCAGGGTTTGGGGGACCCAGAAGCTGTTCTGAAAGCAACCCTGTGAGCGCTTCAGGGAGAGGTTTGAACACAAACCCTGTGGGCCACACCCATGGTAACGGAGGGACTGGAACACGGGTCTCTGGGCGGGGGGCACAGCCCAGGACGCGGGGATGCACCCTTGCAGGCCCTCTCCAGGCCTTTTGAACACAAAGGTTTTATCCATCAAAGTTGGTAGGAAATGGGGGAAATTTAATAAAATAGAATAAAACCCACAAGAAAACCCCAGCCTGTCACCCACTCCCCAGGCTCCTGGGCTTCACCACCGGTTCTCCCTTTCCTGCCAGTGCTCAGCTTCCTGAGGCCCTCGCTCTCTGTTTTCTTGCTGAGTGAGAGGACAGAGGGCTCCCAACTGGAGGAGGTGGTCACAGTCATGGTTTGGGAACAGGGGCTGGAAGGAAGGGCACACCCACCCGAGTCCCAGGGACCCCGCCCCACGCCGCTGATCACCTGCCCCACCCCCACACCCCATCACAGATGCCCTGGGTAGAAGGCAGTCAGAGACGGGGGAGGGAGCAGGTTAGCCAGACAAACCACCAATCCCCAGGTAAATGTGAATTTCAGATCAAAAATTATACAAAGATTAAAATTTAACTAGGTGTCCTATATTTTATTGGCTAAATCGAGCAACCCCACAAGGCCAAAAGCAAAACAGAAGAGACTGGCCTGGCATCAAAATCCCTAGATTTCATAGTCCTGCAAAAGCAGCCCGAGCCAGAAGGGAAGGTCCCCTGCGTTGCTGGGGATAGCTAACCAAAATCAAGCGGGAAAAGGGAAAGCCCGCAGAAACAGCTCCTCCCAGATCACAGCCTCATGCTGGTTGAGGACGGCTGTGGGGCATTGGCACACACTGTGGGGGACACCGGTGACTTCAACACAGAATGTGTGTCCCACACTGGGGTCTAGCGTCCCAGGGGCCAGGAGGAGCGTTGTGCTGAGGACATGTGGGGCCCTTCCATGAGGGATGCACATGGATCACCAAGGCAAGGCAAGCACACTCAGATCTCCCACTTACACCTTTCTGCATCTGGTGGGGGGAGATGACACACTGTAGAGCTCCTCATGAGTTGGAGGCATCGCAAAGGACTCAGAAAGGGTGTCAGGGGCCGCCGGTAGCTTGGGTTGACGTGAGCAGTTTTCATGGTCAAAGACATCCTGAACTTACCAGGCACACCGTGTCCCTGTGGTACATGTAAACCGTGGCTAGCTGCATCTGTATGAGTATGTCTGGCTATCTGGGCTACGTCGCTGGTTTCTTCGGGTTGTGAGTAGCAAGGGTTGAAAGAGAACAGGATTCATCTGAACATCCACATCCCTCTGGTCCCTGGGTTCAGGCAGTAAGAATTGCATAGCAAGAGTCTGGGGGCAAGGATGTGCCAATGTCCTGGGGCTGCCGCCACAAGTTAGCTCAAGCCATATGCTTAGAACAACAGAAGTGTGTTCTCGCACAGGTCTGAAGGCCAGAAGTCCAAAGCCAAAGGGCCGGCTTCCTTCCTGGCTTCTGGTTGCTGGTGACAACCTGTGGCAGTCCCTAGCTGGTCGAGGCGTAAACACATTCCCGGCCCCGGTTCCAAAGTGTGTGTGTGGAGGCTCCCCCACACCAACACGCAACACCAGCAGGGGGTCTGGGAATCCAACTCGATTCTACCTGGAGATGGCATCAGATCCCATGGGGTAAAGGCTCGGTCCCCAAGACGGCCCCCCACTGCAGGCGTCAATCAGGAGTATAGGTTGTCCTCTCTGCTTTTGACCCACTGGCTTAAATGAGAGGTTCCCGCGACCCCATCCTCGGGTTTGACTAATTTGCAAGAGCGGCTCACGGAACTCAGAGAAATATTTGACTGATGAGACCACCAGTTGATTATGAAATGATATAAAGCTCACAAACAGCCAGATGAAAGAGATGCACACGACAGGGTCTCGGGGAGGGGCACAGAGCTTCCATGCTCTCTCCCCAGATCTCCAGGTGTTCATGGACTCAGGAGTTCTCCGAACCCCATCCTCTAGGGTTTTGTGGAGGCTTCGTGACAAGGCTTGACTGATGAAAGCACTGGGTATTAGCCATTGATTGAACCTCCAGCCCCTCTCCCGTCCCCAGAAGTCAGGGGTGGGATGGAAAGTTCCAACCCTCTGATCACAAGGTTGGTTCTCCTGGCGACCAGCCCACATCCTCATTAACATGACAAGAGACACCTTGGTCACTCTGGACAAAGACACGTATATGAAAAACATACAGCTCATCTGAATGATTAAATAGGTATTCTTCTTAAAAGTCACAATTTTGCAAGGCATCGCTCCAGTCTCTGCTTCTGTGCTCACATGAAGCCCTCCCTGTGGGTGTGTCCAAATTCTTCTAAGGATATTTGGATCTTCTTATTGCCTCAGTATTTGTCAAATGACTGCTGGATCCTAATTTGCTTCTCAAAATATGCTTTGTTTTCATCTTCAGCAACTGATAATGCGGAACACTTGGGCTCCCCGTGTGAATTAGCTCTTACAATACCTTGCTCGTGTTCATCCGTCCAAAGTTTGCCATTACATTTGCAAGCAGCTTTGCTGTTAGTGATCTTCAAGGTTGAAGGTAGTCCTCTTGTCTTTGGGTGTCACTGAAAAGACCCACAGATACTTTGTTTTGGGGTTTTGGAGAGATTGGTAGCTTTGCTTGTATTAGCAGGACTCAGGACTCCATATAGGCAAACATTTATGTCGGGTAGATTTCTAGAAGTGTAATTGCTGGATTAAAAGGCGCAAGTGCTTTGAAAACCTTGATAAATAAAACCAAATTGCCCTCCAAAAAAGAAACCAGTCATTGGATCAGGGCCCTCCCTGCTGCAGTGTGACCTCCTCTCAACCACAAGGACTGCAAAACCCCGTGCCCATATACGGTGGCATCCACAGGTACCAGGGGTTAGGACACCAACGTATCTTTATGGAAGACACAACCCACAGCAAAGGGGTTTTCCTACAACAAAGCTGTGGCCTCTACTGTGGGACTAGGACAGTGTTTACTAAGAGGCTGGTGGTACCCCATAGACAGCGGCTGGGTGGGTGTCACGGGGAACTTGCTGTGCATCCCTGTCCCTGGACAAGCTTCACGACCCTGCTGCAGCCAGGGGTCCTGGGCGTGCCCTTTGTCCATCTGGTCACAGCTTGAGCAGTTCTTGTTCTTATTTGCTGAGTATTCCAGAGGAGACACGGGACCCAGAGCCCCTGGCCCCCTGGCCAGCACTGTGGCTGCCGTGGCCCTCCCCAGACTCATTAATCAACAAAAACTGACGGGAGGGAGAATGTGGGTTGGGCATCCCAGTGCGCATCCCATTGTGTGGGTTGAATTCTGAGCCTCAGGGCCCGTCTACCACCGTTCATGTTCCTCAGGGTGTCTAAATGTCGAATGAGCACCTGCCCTACCCTAGGCCCTTCATATGCATGCTGACTTCGGAGGGACCATGGGGGTTCCAGCTTAGGTCTGAGTCAGGGCAGAGTGGGGGTGACCTGGCATGCAGAGCAGTTACTGGGGGGCCCAGTGAGGCTGCCACGGGCCTAGGTGGCCGTCAGGGAAAGGGTGGGGCCAGCCGGTGGGTGATGCAGAACCAGCTCACATGCATAGTTCCCTTAGAGTTCTGGGTTCACCAGGCAACGGGCAGCTTCCTCGCCCACCTGCAACCTGGGCGGTCATCCCCTGCCTTAGCCTGGGGCTCCTACAAGTATTCCGGGGGACTGCCCATGGGATAAGATGCACAGTGCCTACACACTGGCACCAGGAAGCCCGGGCTCTCAGAGCCTGATCCTCTACCTGGGGGTCCCCTGTGCTCCTCCTCATGAATGCGGCACCTGCCTTTTTGTCCGTAAACAACCAAGAACCACCTGTTTGAATTAGTGACTTCCTCCAGCACAGTTGACTGATTCAGCTTGAAGTGGAGGTCGCCAGGCCCCACCGGCGGGCTGACCGTGATGTATTTGCAGCCTCCAAGAGACGAGAGCCTGAACGGCCTTCTGCAGGGTTACCGGATCTACTACCGGGAGCTAGAGTCAGAGGCAGCCTCGGCCACCGTGTCCAAGACGCTCAAAACCCCTTCGGCTTTACGGGCCGAGCTCGCAGGTGAGACTCTTTCCCTGTCCCGAGATAGGCATCACACCATGCACTGGGGAGAGGAACCCTTGTGCGTGTTGACTCCATGCAAGGCATGGTGGGAAATGCCCTGGAGGGTGAGAGGAGATGTGGCCCACCTCCTGGGGGCACAGCCACTGGGGTGGCAGGTCTCCGGGACAGCCCAGGTGTGCACGGAGAGGTGGTGATCCACGGAGAGCTCCTGGGCTCTGGGGGCTTGCACCCAGGGGAGATCAGGGGAGGCTTCTCGGAGGAGGAGCAATTTGGTAAAGGGATTTCACCAAGGACACAAGGGCCTGGCAAAGCTAAGTGGTCAGGAGGCAGGGAGAGCCGAGGGGGATCCTGGATGGGGCCTCCTGGTGGGCCAGCCAGGAGCACCCACCTGCGTGAGGCTGGTGGGCTGTGGCGGGGAGGGAGGAGATGAGCCAGGCCCTCCAGGGACATCATATCGCTGCCCCATGTGGAGCCCATCTCGGGGGAGGGAGGAATGGACAGAGGCCGGTCACAGCCTGCTGCTCTGATGGGGTCCAGTCGGGCGCCCCCTGCCCCCCGGCCTCATGGTGCATGCACAGCCCTCTCATCTGGAGCCGATCCACCTGCTCAGCCACTCTCCCCAGTACCCCTGGCTCGGACTACGACTCAGACCCAACAGCAGTTGAGGCAGCTTCTGGAAGTTCTGGAAAGGCCGCTGCTCTCCCCCACCTTCCTCTGTCAGAAGGGGTCAGAGGGCATCCCCCAAACAGTGTCACAGAAGATCCTCCCTGCCCCTCGACATCCTTGTGGCTTCCAAATGTGCGGCTCAGGGACTGCATCCCTGCTCTCTCCACCTCCCACCACAGAGCAGGCTGTGCCTTGGGCCTGCTGGGGTCACGGGGTAGCCGACGGGAGCAGCTTGGCCCAGCCTATCCCAGGAGTGGGGCTGACCGGAACAAGTGGCTCATTTGTCTCCGCGCTCTTGGCCACACACCCCATCCCTGCCCCGCAGGTATCCCTGGCTTGTGCCCAGACAGCACCTGGGCTTTGTAGCAAAATCAAAGGACCCAGGATGCGGCTGGGTCCACTGACCTGCACAGGTGCTCTTGGTCTGTGGCTTGTCCGGCCCCGTCAGAGCAGGGCTCTTACCTGAGCACAGGTGGGCCGACAGCCGTGCCTGCCGCCCCAGGAGAAACCCATTTCCTGTCCTCTCGAGGGCCGGATACGCGTCTGATGCACTTAGAGGGTGAGTGCAGACCCCACCTGTCACGGGCCGCGGGGCCTGGCTGTCTCCGGAAGCAGTGCAGGGACCCCCAGTGAGCTAGTGGGAAGTGTGGAGGCGGCGGTGTGGACGGGCAGTGGCTTCCAAGCTCGGCCGGCCCGCCTTGCCTGCAGCCCGCATTGGCAATTCCTGTTTCCTGCTGGCTGACTGCCTTTCTGCTTTGCTTACCCCTAATAGCCCAAAGCAGCTTCAAGACGGTGAACAGCTCCACGTTAACGACGTATGAATTAACACGTAAGTGCTCTCTGCCTTCCGCGGGGCAGCCCGGGGCCCACGCCAGTTGGCCTCTCCGGGGACCAAGTGAAAAGCAGCTTGGACTAATGGCTCTAATTTCTGGAACTCCCCCTCTCCAACGCCGCTTCTCAACACACCAAAACCATTGGGTGGGCAGGAAACTTCCAGAAGCAGTGTCCGGGAAGGGGTTTGACTGACAGCTGGTCTTTGAGTTTGGGAAAGTCAGATGGAGCCAGATCTCCTGTCTGGTTCCCTTTGACCTTTTCCTTTTACTCATTATTTAACTGTGGTAAGATAAATGCAAAATTTACCATCATAACCGTTTCTAAACGTGCAGTTTGGGAGCATTAAGCACGTTCAGGCTGCGTGCAACCATCCGCGCCGCCTCCAGGGTCCCGTCCCTCTTCCCGGGCTGAGCCTCCGTCCCCATGAAACACCCACCCCTCCCCCGCCCGGTCCCTGGCGCCCACCCTCTCCTTTCTGTCTCTGCGTCTGAGGCCTCCAGGGACCGCACACAGTACTTGTCCCGCTGTGTCTGGCTTCTTCCCCTTCGAGCTTCATCCCCGCTGGGGCACGGCTGGGACACCCTTCCTCTTCAGGGCTGAGTAGGCCCCACTGCGTGCACTCACCCCACTTCGGCTGCCCACTCATCGTCCCTTGCCCCCAGCTGCGCCATGTTGCTTGCCCTCGCGCTCCTGGTCCTCAGAGGGTTTCATGGTCCAAATGCAGAGCGAAGGGGGCCCCCCAGTGTGACTCCCGTGCGGAGCTTCCCAGGACTGGCACGTGGATACGGGAAGGGGGACGAGGAGCGGCTGGCCCTCCCAAGGCCCTACCGTGTGCGGCCACTCTTCCAGGGCGGGCCAGCGCCATCCCACTGCGTCCCGGGCAGCTCCTGGGCAGCTGGCCCTGCCCTGGTGGCCGGGGTTTGGGGGGGGATTCACATGAGCCATTTTCTCCTCCATGCTGCTCCCCGAACATGGCTCTACCATCTGTGGTCTGCCCCATGTCCCCACCCAGCCGCCACTCCTCCACCCATTGCCTCATCCACCGGGACGCTCCCCGCTGAGGAGCCGCTTCGAGAGTTGGATGCGGCCCGGGGTTCCAGAGACGAGGCTTCCCTGGCTGGACCGCGCTCCAGGCTTTGCAGTCCGGGTGATGAAGATGCAGAGGGGCCCCAACCGTGCCCGCGTCCACGTCCACCCTGGCTTGTCTCAGTTGACGCTGAAGAGCCGCACGGTCCCGGGGTTGGGGGTGAGGACGAACAGGCCAGGCGGGTGCACGAGCCCTGTTGGGCAGCTCAGCTCCGACAAGGCTGAGAGTGGGAGAGGGCGGCCCCTTCTCCGCTCTGTGGGCAAGTCCGGGAAGCCGGCGGGGGCAGGAACCTGGTGGTCCGATTCACTGAACCTCTGCGGACCGGCAGCTCCCCGGGAGGCGAGATCTGAAGCCTGGCCTGAATCACCATTCACTCAGGGGTCAGACCCGCACGTAGGGCCTCAGGAAAGCAATATTAACCAGCCGGAGAACGTTCCAGAATGTTCTGGTTCACAGGTCAGCTACTTTCGTCCTGTCGCTCGGGCTCGACCTATGGAACCCTATGTATGTGGCTTCACACGCCCTTGTCATCCGGAATGTGGTTGTTAAAAACTCAGAGGTCTTTGCATTGCCAGTGTATTTCCTCCTTAAATGCCAGGGGCTTTCCCCATCTGCTCTTACAGAGCGATTCTGGACCAAAGGAAGCCCACGTCACGTTCTGCCACCTTCACACTTCCCTCCGAAGACGGCCTGCTGCCGCCTTCACCCTGAGCGCAGAGTGGGACGGGTCTGCTGCCGTGCCCGGTGGCTGTTAGTCCGGGGCCGGGGAAGGAGCAAAAGGCCGCTCCACAGACCCTCTGGGGATGCGCACGGCCTGCCCAGAGGCCCCTCGGTGTGGTTCCCAGGCGGGGAGGTGGTCCCGGGCCAGCTGACCCCTGTCTCCTTCCACCTGTAGGTCTGAAGAAATACCGGCGCTACGAGGTCATCCTGACGGCCTACAACATCATCGGCGAGAGCCCGGCCAGCGCACCTGTGGAGGTGTTCGTCGGTGAGGCCGGTAAGCTCCGGGCGCCCCTGCCCTCCGGGAGGCCTGGCCGGGCGCTCTTGGGCTGCGCAGCGTGCCCGTGATGAGGAGCACCATGTCGGTGCGCCACCAGGAGGCTCTAGGTCCCCGCTGGGAGAGACGGATCTGCCAAGGGCTGGGCCGACCGGAGGCCAGAGAGACCCATCCAGTCGTGCTTTCAGACCCAAGGGTTCATTTCACACCCGGAGCCCTCCTCGTGCGTCCCAGGACATGCTCCCGGGGAGAGGCTGCTGCCTCCACGGGAATCCAGGCGCGTGGGGACCTTGGCCTCTGCGGGGAAGTTTGTCCTCGGCTGCCCACGGTTCCTGCAGGGCCCCAGCAGAGGCCCGGCCCCCATGTCAGCCTGACCTCCTGGTCACGGCCCCTTCTCAGGACTCAGAAAGCCACGTGGATCATCGTTTGTACCCCTTTTAGATAAGACGCGGCCCTGAGTTTGTTTCCAGGGCTGTCCCTCGTGTGGAGGCTCCCTGAGAGACGTCATGTGGCGTTGAGAGCAGATTGGGCTCCCTTCTGGCTCTCCCCCTCCTCTGCTGGGGCCCCTGCTCAGGCCAGCTGGGGCAGGTAGAGGGCCGCACTTCAGGTGCGAACGACGGGAACTCCCTCGGAGGACAGAGCCCCAGGCTTGCAGGAGAAGGCGGTTGGGCCTCTGGGCCAGCCCGCAGAAACCTATCAGGTGACCTTTCGAGATTTGGAGAGCTTACTGTTATAAACCAAATGACAGCACTGGGGACCTAATTTAACAGGATTTTTCTGGAACCATCAAGCAACACTTGCCCCAAGCGAGGATGAGTGAAATGCGATGCCTGGAGAATAGGTTTGTCAGAGTCTCTGTATGTCTGTCCCCAGGATTAACCCTCTGGTGTGGTGGGGCCAGGCGGCCAGTGTTCTGGCAGATGCGCCTCCCCTCAGGGGGCCTCCCTCCCTCCCGAGGCCGAGCAGGAACACAGGCAGGGAGGGGATGCGGACGTAGCTTGCGCTGTCTAGGAGGTGGGGGCCCCAGTCCTCTCTGGCACCTGAGCCCACGTCGGTCAGCACGGGGGTTGGGTTGAGGGGAGCACATGACTGGGCAGCTGGAATCGGGGCACCTGAACCGCCCCGTAGGAGGCCTGCATTCGGGGCCCCAGGGTACTGGAGGCAGAACCTGAGTCGCAGGGCCAGGGCGGTTGCTCGGAGGGAAGGACAGGAGCCAGGGAGGGAGGCAGGCAGGCACAGGGAGCCGCGTCAGCTGGCCAGGTCCCCACAGGCCTGAAGCCTGCTCCGTGCTCTGCGCGGCCTTGGCGGGTTGGCGTGCATCAGGGCTCAATGCGCGCAGCGTGAAGTCGGCCGTCCCCACCCCCAGACGCGGACGGTGTGGCTGGAAGAGCCCCGTCGCCCTCCAGCTCCCGCTCCTCCCCTGTCCCGCTTCCCGGCCCGGCGGCCTGGAGGTCACTGTGTGTCTCTAGGAATCTGTCTGTGCTGAACGCCTCGCGGTGTCTGTGCTCTCGAGCTGGCTTCTTTCACTGGACACGTTTTCAAGGTTCACAGTCCGTGTCAGCATCTCATTCCTTCTCACGGCTGGAGAATCCTCCACCATGTGCACACACGCATTTTGGCTCTCCCCATCCGTCGATGGACACGTGGCTTGTTCTGTGGGGAGAGCTGCCTGAACGTGGTGCACAGGTATTTTCCAGCAGCACCGAGCTAACGCCGCGCCCTAGTGCACAGGGGGAGCCCGGGACGCTGCAGCCGGGGCCGGGCCCTGAGGCGGGGTGCCGGCCCCTCCTGCTCCCCGGGGCCCCTCATCTCCCTCTGCTCTCCGGGAGGGCTCCCCGCTCCAGCCCTGGAGGCCTTCCTCCCGGCCCCCGCCCACTCCCCGTGCTGTCTCCCCACATCTTCCAGCATCAGGCTCCTGGACCCCATAACCCCAGAAGGGAAAGGGGGGCCCTACCCAGGAGTCCATGCTCCAGGGCCGTCTGGCCCCACACATGCGCTTGACAGAGCTCGCTGAGGGCACTGGCAGGAGATGCTAAGAAGTGCTTTTAAAGCCTGCTGAGCGTCGTACACTCCGTGTCCGGAGCACTGCTCCCCGTCTTGGCCCTGACTCCTCCCCCTCCTGCCCAGGACCCGACTCCGGGCACTTCTCCCCCAGAAAGCTCTCTCTGGCCCCCTCCCCGGTACAGGTCCAGCTCTCTCCCTCTGTGCCCAGCTCCTCGGGCACCGTGTGGACACCTCTGCTTTCGTTATCAGACGGGACTGTCCTGTCTTCCTCCTCACGGGACCATGACCACTCATGTCAAAATGCTCCTCATCCTGAGCGCCTCGTGGTGTCTGTGGGGACCGGAAGGCCTTTGCTGTCCTGCACTTAGACGTCCCCAGACTCCCACGAGCTTGAGGCAGCAGAGCAGCTGCGGGAATCCTGGGCACTGGGAAGTGCTCCGGTGGGGTGGGATGAAGCGGGTGGACTTCATGCCTCAGAGCGGGTGGGGGGCAGGGCTAATCAGAGATGCCTCCTCCTGAAGCAAGGCGATGCGGACAGTGGCATCTGCCCCGTGGCCGCAGTGACCCCAGTGCCCTTGCTGCCACAGGCACACGCGTGCGGTGGGCACGTTTCTCCATCGAGGGTCCTTCCTCACGCCTCCCGCAGCGCCTGGGCAGGGGAGGGGGCAGCTAGGCGGCGTGCAGGAGCGTGCACGCTCTGGGGAGGCAGGCAGGCGGAGTGCTGGCCCGTCGGTCTGGTGGGCAGGCGGCAGGGGCAGGGACCAGAGAAGCTGCTAAGTGCTAAGGGCCAGGCTCCGTGCAAGGGGATCCTCGTAAGCACCACACAGGAAGAGCCCCCTGCCACTCTGCACCCCCCGCGCAACCTCGGATGGGTGCAGGGAGGGAGATAGGAAGGGAGTTGTGTGTTCGCTCCTTCCACCGTAACGGGGTTACAGCCTCCCGGAGGCCAGTCGAGGACACGAGGACAGAGGCAGAGCAGCCTGGTGCACACCAGGAGAGGGTGTGCTGTGCCCCCCGGGGGAGAAAGGGCGAGACCTGCCTGCCCGTGTCGGATGCAGACGGGCACTGACCAGGACTCTGGGCCTTGAGCTGCAGGACTCAGGGAGGGGCAGGGCCGCGGCCCCAGCTGGCGAAATCAGGGAGTCTTTGGTATTTGGTGGAGAAGACAGGGAAGCAGCCTTCTCAGTGTGCATGCTAGCTGCGCTGGAGTCGAAGGAGAGTCCAGCGTTTGTAGGCGGCTCTGCCGGGTACTGGCTGTGTGACCATGGGCAAGTCACTTGACCACTCTGGGCCCCAGCCTTGAGGCATCATGGTACAGAGGGGAGTGCTGTGAGGTAGGACTAAGGACACCTGGGTCCTCATGCCGACTCTGCCCTGAACTCGTCTGTCCTGCCCACGGGATGAATGTGCAGAATATGACCGCACAGGGCAGGTCAGTATTTGTGAATGAATGATTGAGACCCTGGGTGAGTTACTTGACTCGCTTGGCCTCATCTGCAAAGCAAGGTGTGCAGAGTAGGAGGTCTCTGGGTCTAGCCCAAACATACAGTATTTAAGTCTCTTTCACCTCATGGAGACAAGGTAATTTTTAGGAAATTTCTCATTGAGATTGATTTCTGAGCCCAGGTATTGCAAACTGGCACAAATAATACATCAGTATGGACTCCAGTTTGCTGGAGAGAAAATCCCAGCCCGAACAGGCTTAAGCTAAAAGAATCATTTATTAAGTCATGTCACAGAAAAGTTGAAGATCCAGCTTCAGGCATGGCTGGATCCAGTGCCCTAACAGGCTGGTTTGATGTCCCCTCTTGGTTCCATTCTCCTGTCAGTTTGCTCCTATCTTGGGCAGGCTCCTCGTCACGGTGGCCCTGCAGCGTGAGGTAGCAGGAAGGCAGCTTCCCTTCAGCGATGTCTGCAGAGGAAACCCACTGGCTCTCAAGAGCCGGCCTTTGGTGACACGCCCATCTGCAGACCAGATGTGGTGGCCCCCTGAGGTCCCCAAAGCCAGGCAATGATGTCGCGTCTACCTGGGCCCCGTGGGCCAGATGGTTGGGAGGATCCCCAGGGGAATGGGTGCTTCCTGCGGCGGTCCGCATGCAGTGATGGCAGAGTCTGCAATGGCCAGAGCTGCTCTGGAGAGAGGTGCAGAGACCGGGTGTGGGCTGCCGTGGCACGGCTGCCGTCCAGCCCCATCTCTGTGTTCTCGGGACTCCAGCTGCTACAGGGCTCCAAGGAGCCCATATCCCGGCCTTCAAGATGCATGCTACTCAAGGGTGGGTCCCCACTTTCCAGCCAAGGCTGCCCTCCTGCCCTGGGACAAGGGCCAGGCACATGGGCCCCTGCCTGTGTTTCCAGGCCTCCCAGGCCGCTCTCCCCTGGAACAGACATCAGCTGTGTCATCTAGCATCCCTGCTCTTGCCCCGCCGCCCCCGTCCCAGGAAGCCCTGCAGGCCTCCCGCAGCCCACCTTCGGGGCCAGCACCTCGGGGGAGAGCTGTCTCCTCCCTCTCTCCATGCAGAGCCGGGGTTCCCTCCTCTGTTCTGGAACACGTTGCACACGCAGCTTTCTGCACTCGCCATCTGTGGTCTGTGTGTGCTCTGTGCTCCACGGTGCCGAGAGCCCCTCCGAGTCCCCCCACCATCCTCCGGACTCCGTGGATTGCCTGGAACAGTGTGGGGAAGCGGTGGGGGGGTGGGGGGCAACAGCAGATCAGATAGGAAGGAGGGAAGCCAGCAGCCCTGCTCGGAAGTGTGGACGCCAGAGGTAGATGACAGGCAGCACCCTAGAGGGTGGGGACCCCTGGGGCCAGGGACACATGGAAAGTGCCCAGGGGGAGGCTTCAACCCCGGCTCCCATTTGCTCCATCAGCCCTGCCCATTCAAGAAGGACAGGCATCTGGGGACCCCAGAAGCTCAGAAACTGTGAGGGCTTCTGACAAAGCACAGCACAGCAGACCTGATGGGCCCCAAACCAAGCCCAAGGCGTTCTGTCCTGAC